ACTGGCATATTAGAAAAAGACTGACTTGTGTCCATCCATGCCAGTTTGTTCATGGCTGCTGTGGGCTTGTTGTTACTATAATTGTTTCCTGGTTTTATTTTGTAATTGTTTTATTGCTACATGTTGCTTGTGTTTTATTTATATACTTTGATTGCGTAAACTTGCCCGACAGCCTTTGGGCTACAGAGCAATATAACAATGAGATAGATAGATAGATAGATTTCAAGTACCTTGGCTTTGTTCCTAAGGTGATTTTGACTTCCCCCATACAATCCCAGCCCTGTGCACCACGAAAATCTTCTTTGGCAGGTTGGGACTGGGGCCGGGGGGGACTGTTTCAAACAGCATGGGAAGTGGTGCAGGGGCTGAAGGAGGAAAGAGAAATCAGCAAACATTGTCTCCCTTCCCGCCCCTTTGCTTACAGAATCTCTTCTGTGAAAAGAAGGAAGGAATGCATCTGCTCATGGATGGGGAACTCGGAAGCAAGGTCCTTAGGCTCCTTGAAGGAAAAGATGGATATATAACAACCATGTTCAGAGCTTTGTATTGGAGAGTCCTTTGCTATTGTTTGAATAGACTACTTTCCTTTAGTTCTCTCTCTGGAGCTTTCAAAGAAAAAGGAAGATACAAATCTAAATAATAAACTGGGGAAGCAGTAAAGCAGTGCTGGTCTAGCAGAAAGAAAAGACAGAATGGGGAGATTAAGTATTCAGTTAAATAAGATAACAAAGCAGGCTGAGAACATCAGGCCACAAGCCAGCATAATACTGAGACAAATTACACCATCCAAATTTTAAAGAAAAGTCAATTTTTGCCTAATAGGCAGCTAGGTATAGAACCTCCAAACAATTGCCTTTTAGTTCATTAATACCATATAAGGTAATAAGGCTACTTCAAAGGAAATGGCAAAAGAATCAGCCCTCATTTTGTGTTTGTTTTATAACAGTTTAATCAAATTTGAAAATAGGGACATTAATTTGAATGAAAGCATACTGGAACACAAATAAAAAGATCTTTCAAGTTTCTCTACTGCAGCAACAAGCACTGAGCAATGTTGGGAAAAAATAGTTGCTGCCTTTGTTTTTCATATATTAAATATTATGACTAAGTAAAGATAGACCCTTCAGAGCCACTGGCAAGATTCAGATAAAAAGGCAAGGTCTATATAGCAGTAATTATCATATCTGACTGCCCTACAATGATAAGGGCTTAACATAAGCAATTTGTACAACACAGATATATAGATACATGGCCATGGCTCTCAAAACGTTTCATTTTTTAAAAGTGTGATTATGAAATTTTAGCAAAACGTAAGAGGAAAAGGATAGAGCTACATACATTTGACTATATCAATATTAATCCATGCATATGATAGATTGCATATGATATATACAGCTTTCCAGCATCTCATGAGACTGCAACAGAAGAAGATGATATGCTGCTTAGGCAGCCCTGTCAGGTTATTCAGTGGCATATAAATTTAAAAATAAAGAAATAATGCTAGGGAAAATTTAAGGCAGAGAAAGAAGAGGAAGACCAAATATGAGATGGATCAATTCCCTAAAGGAAGGCAAAACATCGCATTTACAATTGCTTAGCAGGGCTATAAAGGATAGGCCATTTTGAAGGTCACCCATTCACAGAGTCACCCTAAGTCGGAGACAACTTGACTGCATGCAGAAACAACAAGAATTATATACAGTCTTCAAAACAAACAGACCAAGGAACCTTCCCAACAATTTATTAAACAAAGCATTGCATTTTTAAAATATATTTCCATGTCAATGAAGTTTTGGAACTGACAAGCTGGAAAATATTTTATACCACTCAACTGGAAACCCATATGGACCAGCTGATTTCATTAACATCTTTCTTAATTTATTCAAAAGGCACAACAACAGAGAGAAACTCAAAATTAAGTTCTACTGTGGTCAACAGGGCTTATTCCCAAGTAAGACACTACACTCTTGAAAGTGTACTCTAACATATTATCTCCTCTAAAAGAAAAGAGGAGTAACTCTGGAGTAGAGTCCAAAGTTTAGAAATGCATGGAGATCCTCTCTCTATCTCTGCCTATCTCTCTCTCTCTGTTTCTGTCTCTTTCTCTCTCTCTCTTTCACACACACACACCACAAACACACTACACACAGACAGATACAATCTAGATGACAAAATAATGTATTGACAAACCATCCTTGAAACAAGAGCATTTAAAAACTCACTAATAATAATCTTCAATCACAGAAATGCAATCACTGGGTTCATGTAGTTTACCAGCCACTGTGGGCAGCTGGCCATGGTGAGTTGTTATTTTATCTGAATGCAGACTGCTTCCAGCAGTGTGCCGTATTTGCCAGCAACAAGCCACCAAGAACCCATAGATTGCTCTAAAGGCTGTTTGATCCAGAATGGGTCCTCACGTTGCATCATGAATTGATGGGAGCAGCTAGCATCAAGAACTGTTAGCTGCTCTTTTTGATCTCATGCATGCTGCTGCCAGTAACAGCCCCTCCATTGATGCCCAAGAGGCATTTTGGACTAACATCATCCCAGAAAACTGTGTGTTCGCTATTTTTAAAATGCTTGCTGTTGCTGTTGTTGGTCTTTCACATTTGTGTAAGTGTGTACTAATGGCCATCCATTATGTATTGTGCTCCCTTATTAATGGTCTTCTAAATTCCAACTATCACTTGGTTTTGGACTGGGATGTATACACAAATATAATAGCTGGGAAGCAAATGGGGATAAATGTGGATTAATAAAACTGATGAAGATGAGGCAATCATGGAGGGGAAATTTAAGCATGTGCAGTAACAGGCAGTTATTGTAGGTGTAAAATTTCCCCTTCATTTACTTGCCCATCATTCAATTTGCATCTATTCCCCACTCCAAAAATATGTATTTTTACAGATATCAGGAAATCACATCAGGTAATAACCATATCAGGTAATAACCACAGGAAGTGCTCCAAAAAGGAGATTGAAAGAGAAGACAGGGATGTAATATCTGATCTTTCTAGAACTGCTGGGTACTTGGACGAATTTGCCTATATGCAGTTCCACTCTATTAATTACAACATATGTTACTGGTCCACTTTTCTGCTCTTTTTTCTGCTTCTTTTGACAACTCAAACTTACAATATAAGATCACACCTACCAGATAGCAGGAAGTACATACCAGTGTGCCACTGAAAGACCAACAAAAAATGGTCTTTGTTGTGGAACATACAGTTCCACAATTTTGAGGGGTCAAAAAAAAAAAAAAGAATATGGTCCCACCTCTGTTTTTTGAAGCTCCTAAACATTAAAATAATAGCAGAGAAGAAAGAGAAGGAGCAATTGGAGTGGGGAAAGCAGGTTCTGCCATGAAGGACAGTGGGATACCCAACTAGGGGACCAAGGGAGAAGAAGGGGCGGGGGGACACAAGGCCCAGTGAGCCCAACTGTCTGTTGGGTGCACCATGGCTTGTTTGTGTACCACACTGCATAGCTAATTTCCAGAGTAGCTTAGCATGTCATGAGCACATGCCCTATGAGTTTAACTTGGATGTGTCTTCTTCCCACGCACCCCTGAAAGTTTGGAAAATACTATTTGTTTGATTTGAAACCAGAAGAAATATGGAGAGTCCAAACTACAAATGTCTAATTTGTCAACGTTTTTAACACTCTTCATATTTTGCAATACATTATCTGCCAACAAATTTTCTGCCAACATTTATAGCAACACAGCAGTAAATCTATTTTAAATGGACCTGCATAACAAATATGCAACTTTCTGTGTAAAAGCAATCTCTTATAGATCTCTAGGGTGAAGATATATATCCTAGTATGATTTCAAGCTGTAATCATAATAAAAGAGTAACTTTAAAAAGTTACATTTTTAGCTGTAAGCTACAAACCTGCAGCCAATAACACATTGTTAAGTATTACAAATTTCAACAGGTCTTAAGAGCATACAAGCGGGCAAATGGAATTAGCAAAAGGCAGGAATCCTAGAAACATGCTATTTCTTCTTGAGGGAAAGCTGCAGATCCTGATGCAGAAAAGACCAGCTGCTTCATTTTAAAATCACTTCAGGATTGCTTCTTTATCATAGAGGGAAAGCCAAGTTCCAGTTGCCTACATAAAGCACAATCCTTTCCTAGGCAGGCAAGCTACAAAGTATGCAGAGCATGCGGCTCAAAGTACACAGGCTTGTATACAGAGAAATCCCTTTATAAATTACCAGAGCCCTGTTTTCCCTCCTCAGCTCATGGGCAAAAAGTTCTTCAGGATAGTCTGAGAAAAGGAAGGTCTGTAAATGCCTCTCATAAGCCCCATTTAGCCCTCTCCAATTCCACTCAATCAAGTTACTCAGCCTCTCTAAATTCACTAAGTAAAAGGGATGGTTGGGTGTACTGGAGCTGCTTAGAGACTGTCCATTCTTCCTAATGTTTATGTTGCCTGCACAATGTTACAGACATTCAAGGAAGAGCTTTATTATTCCTATGAGGAATAATCTGGAATGAAAAAATACCATGTTCATAAGTTTTTCACTGGACACACACACACAAATTCTTTCCAGATCCCGATCATACAGACTAAACTTTATTTATCAAGTTAATATTATGAAAGATAATCTTTAGCAATAACATCAGAAAGGACTCCTTAGAAATAACATAATAGCAAAATGAGAATATATCTTATGAGCCGTCTTTTATAAGCAAAAACAAAACAGAACAGAAAATTGCATCATGTATGGCATGCTTAGCTTCATACTACGTCTGTATGTTTTATTCTTATGTCAGAGTGAGTTAAAGCTGCTAGCTATGTGTGTTTACCATTGTTGACTGACACAAACATTAAGGCTGCAGTTTATATACTGAGTATAAGTCACTGAATTCATTGACATGTACTTCTTAGGCATGAATAGGATTGTACGGTATCACACATAAAAGTTTTTGGATGCTTTGGACAAAAAAAAGTAGGAGAATTTGGTGAGAATATCTGTTTAAAACTTACTTCTTGCTTGCTTCACAGACATCAGCAATATTGGAAAAAAGGTGATGACTTTCTGTCTTGGTCATGGTAGAAGCTAGTTCTTTAGAGTTCTTAAACATCCGTATCAGAATCTCAAGGCTGAGCAAATATGAATGTTCTGAAGATATCACTTCAAATATAGCCTACACATTAGGCAGAAAAAGATAAAGACTCAATGAACTCAATTTTTGGGTTTAGAGAACAATGTTTTCACAGTAGCATATCTCTGGAATGGTATTTTGCACACACACCGTTGTCTTGAAAGAGCTGCTCTGGTATTGTTCCAGTAGATCACACTACACATTTCTCAAAAGTTTAACTGTGGCAGAACTAATTTCAATGGTCCACAGAAGAGTCCTTTGAGAACCACTTTACATGGTTAGATTTAGCATGTAGCTTGGTAAAAACAATCTTTTATCAGTATGTATACCATATAAAACAATATCTACAGCAAATGAAATTTGTGCATTTTGTGCAAAGAATTAATCCCATGCTTTCTCCTGGCCCATAAAGGGCAAAAAGCTTTATGCAAGCTGCCTTGAGTTCTTCAAAAATGAAAAAAGGGAGAAAAGGGTGGGATATAAATCTCATATAAATAAATACTGCAATATCAGAAGCAGAACTTAGTGAATGCAGCTGCTAGATGGTTGGTTCAATTGTGAAACACCCGCCTTTAAAGCTTTTTGTTTTAAATAAACCATAGCTGGATAAACCATAGTTTATGGGACTAAGAAATAGCAAGTTGCCTATGTAATCAGATCCTGGTTTCATTCATGCATTACATTTGCATGCCACCCAATAGTCAAAGCTTCCTGCACAGTTTATACAGATTAAAACTTCAAAATTGGGCATAATTTAAAAAAACATATATATGGGTAGAGGAATGTCTTCCCCCAGCACAGAAAACATCATGATATTCATGCCAGGCCGGACCCAGTGAGGAGACTGTTACTTAATTGGGGGACCACCAGTCCTTTCATATCCTGGTTTGTATATCATGATTATATTTCCCTTACATTACATTGTTCAGTTCAGAAAGCACAGCTTAACAAACCCCCTGACTTTAACAAATGCACAAAAGGGAGGAGAGGGTGAGTGGGCTTGTGGCTCATTCTCAGTGTAATAAAGGATGCTTCAGGTTCACATCATTACATCTGAACTGCACCAGGCTCTCACCTGGGCCAAGCTCTAACCTACCACCAAAGGTTTTTGCAAGAAAACAACAACAACAATTATTTAAAGTGCCTGCTATACCAACGCATGTTTTAGAAACCAGTAACAAAAGGTACAGCAATTCACTTTGTTCTAGAGTTTACCAGAATTAAAAGGCTGTCATTTCTAAAAGATGTATCTGTTTTTGTGGTCTAGGTAGAGGTAATAAAAAAGAAAGTGTGGTGAGGGGGTAGCCGGGAGGGGAGGGGAGGGAGGGGAGGGGGAGAGAGAATGAGAGAAAGAGCCTTGCATAAGTAGCAACCTCCTCCCTGCAATGAATGAACAGTCTTTGGGACAATAAACAATTCGAGATAGTGAAAGATTCAGATCCTTGAAAGCAGTGCAAACTGAGAAGCAGCTGTGCCAGATGCTATTCACAAAAGATCAGCTGGCCGAAAAGAAAAAGGGTAGATTTCCAGAATGCACATGCCGCCTCCCACGCAAACCTTCCCACTGCACTTAGTTCTTTTCTTCACTCTGCCAAATCATACACAACCCTGCATATATCTTTTCCCCAGCCTTTTCCCCTGTTCTCAGCCTCCTCAACAACTAATGTACCTGATGGCACAGTTTGATCCAAATGTATTTATTTGCATTATGTCACAAGTATGCAGAGTACAGAAAGGCAGGTACCTGATTCAAAGAGCTTACAAACTAAAACTAGACAGGGAATACAGTTTTGAAGTATGGCAGAGATGGCAAAACTCAAGGCACCCTTGGCCTCACATCAGGCCTTCTGGGCTTCTCCTAAAGGCTACATCCCCCCTCCTATGACCCCTTCCTCCTTAAGATATCCATAATCTGGTAGCTTCCTGACTTTTCAGCCATTGTCCTTCAGAATGGCTGAAATATCTCTCCTAAGTCTTAGTTATTGCAGTAAGAGCTTTAAAACTACAATATGCAGGTGGCAGGAGGGGGAGTTGTATTTTTGACCCCACTTCCTTTGCCTTTGCCCAAAACCCCCTAGAATGGGACCAAGTGCCCCTCCAGAATTGTCCCTGCATGGAAAGGGGCTCCCCACACTTGAAAAAGGTAAGGCAGAGAGTGTGGCTCTTTCAATTAATTATGTTTAGATTTGGGCACAGGGTTAATAAACAATGTCCACATTAGTAATGTCCTAAGGTGTATATAATTCTTAGGTACGATTGTTTTGCGCCCTGTGAAAGGAGTTTGACCTACGAGCTGGGAACTTGGTATAGTTTGTATTGCCACTGCCCTTTGAAGGATGCTGGTCCAGCAGTCTGTGGTATGCTACAGCTATTATAATGAACGGTCCAGGGTTGTGCTAGTTTTTCTAAGTCCTCAAGCTCCATCCAGGCACATGCAGATAATTTCTTGTATAAAATGAATGGAAAGGGCAAGACTTAGTGCTAATGACTTATGTTCCTCACAAATCATCATGCCCTCAATTTGTTCTACCCTCACAAGCAATTTGGTGCCGGAACCAAGCTGGAGGAAAGGATTTGCCTGACAAGAGCAGCAGTGTTCTGTGACTAATTGCTTCCAAACTTTGCATTTTTGTTCAGAGAAGGGACATAGGATTCCTCGTACTCAATACTTTTTAAGGACTCTTTGTTCTCAGTGCCAATGACAGACTTCACTGATTCATTCCAAGCTGAAAAATCCAAGGCTCTGCATTCCGGTTTTATAGGGAAAATATGATATGGGCTGGCCACTGATATCTGTTGTGCACCAACGTACAACAAACACATGTTTTCAAAGGACTTCAAAATGATTGGCTCAAAACAACAAAATGAGGAATGTCTGAGCTCACATGTAATTTAACAGACTCTAGTGAAGCTAACTGGAGATGGGGAATGAGTGCATATTTGGCCAATTACTATTTCTTACTCGAAATAGGTGACAGTCGCCATAAGTGAGGAGGTGAAATGGACAGCGTCAACAGCAAACAGATGCTGAACTTTGGTAGCCTATGAATACTTGGTGGAATTCTTTCCAGACCAGAAGAATACTTAAAGCTTTGCAAGCAATGGTGAAAGAAGCAAATACAGTCAAGGTCAGAATCTGTTCATGATTTAAAGAACCAGGTAAGGCTTTATTATTAATGTTTGAGTTTTGGCTGATCTATTTCTTCATGGTTTCATATACTGTTTAGCATGTTAAATCAATAAATTCCAACAGAAATTGCCCTAAACAGACACTATGCCCTTAAAAAAAAAAACACTTGGGAAGCAATTCTGAGTATTTTAGACTGAAAACAGGTTTATAGCTTCCAAAATGGAAGTTGTAGGCCTTTTGTCTCTATAAATACAGGTAATATTGCACCTTTAATAATGTCACCCTTTGCCCCTTTTAACAGCTGCCTATAAACATAAAGTTATTTTATTTATCCACTCAATATCCAGAGTTTTCAAAATCTAACAGTTTTGGAGCTTGAACAACCCATTCACACAAGAGAAGACTCTCTTTTGCATCTGGCGTCATTTGGCGGAGTGCAGGATTCCAGTGAAAAAACACAAAGTGGATCAGGCACAGCTGATACTGGCCTATCCATCTTCTACAATCCTTGTCCTTCTCCTATCCAGCAGTTCTTTCTTCAAGTACGAGTCACTACTACCTAGCATAACATGATCTTGTGCTCCTTTTGGCTTGGACCATAGCTGAAAAAATTCCCCTAATCTCTGGCTCTTCCCCTGATAACAAGATAGGTTCTGACAGTGCCATCATAAGCATGCTTCTTCAGAACTAAGATCCAGTGTATGAAGCCAGGCTTAGCCCTAGAAGTGTGTTTAGGATTATGAATTCCCATCCACCCACCCTTGGGCATTCCCTACTCTGACTTTATTCAGCTTAAATATCTGACTTGACTTACACTCAAAAGGCTCTTAAGATCCTTCCTTTATGCTCTTTCACTGAATTAGCAGATCTGATCTGAGGGACAACTCTCTTCAAGTGCTGTTCAAACCCAAAGGAGCTGGAGGAGATTATCCACATTCATCAACAGTACAGCAGAAACCTCCAGAGGACTGAGGAGGAGAAAAGAGGAGACTTTTAGGGTCACTCCTCATGATACATTTTAAGGTCACAGGAGTGGAATTCCGGTCATTGAATGCTTGTGTTCAGGGAACGGGAAGCAAATAGTCCTATTCCCCTTATACTCTGCTGCCCCTTGCACCCCCCCCCCCCCGCAATTCTGTTCTTGAGGAGTGAAGGATCTTCCTGAATGGCATGGAAATTCTGCTGGAGGCTGCAGCAAATCTGTCACTTCTTCCCTTCCATATGCAACAACCTCCACTCAGTCACCACCCTTTCTACAACTGCAAGGAGGACCACTGTGGATTCAAGCCTTAGAAGCTCTCTCACAATCACTCCCCTATCTGAAAATATGTGACATTTCATGCTACTGGCTTAGAAAGAAGGCTAGGTATTGTAGAAAAGTGGGTGTTAATGAATAAAATTACTTTTACATTCTGCTTAAGCCAGAGAATGGGCAAGGTCATGCCGTTCCTTGAACTAGGAACAGCCTCGGTGAAGCTAGTAGCTTTGTTTGTTTGTTTTGTTTTTAATCTGGGCCTTGCATCGTTAAACATGTCAGTGCAAAACAGATATGCTTTATATAGAAAAACACTTTATAATTTGGTTCAGAGAAAGGGAATAGAAAAGTGTCGAAATAGAATGCACTGAGGACATCTTCACAAAAGCAAGCAAATGAAATGCTCATATTAATGAATGAACTAAGCATATAATCATTAAGGTACCTCTTGTCTTTTTCTTTCTTCTTGGCTGATGGTCTGGGATAAGCCATTCCTCTTCACCTGAAATAAATTGTAAATAATTATTTTTATGATGCCCATAATTTAAACCTCTTTTAATTAATAATTAAGGTTTTTGGGGTTCAATCCCAACTGAATTAATTGTACCTATCTCCCACAGCAATCAGTCGGATAAGTTTGTCATGATGTAGGTTTCACTGATTTAAACAGAACTAAAGTTTGATTAGTACAGATCAAACCCATTAGTTATAACAATGAATTCTTACTAAAATTAGAACAAAACTGTAAAGCATTTTTCTTTCATAAACTATTTTATATCATGTAAAATCACTTCAACTCTTCCCATTCAAATTTTCTCTTTTTTCTTGCTTTTATCTGCTCATAAAATTCTGGTAAGGTGTGCAAAGTTGGTTTCTATGTACAGTGAAGTCAGACAGAAAAGCTGCAGAAATGCTGTATCTGTTCATCTAAAATAATATTAGTTACTGATATAAAGCTATTTACTTGAAACTCAGAAGTAAGTCTGAGTTTCAAAGGATCTAACTCTCACAGAAATAGGTACAAGATGCCAACCTTAATTATTCCAAGTGCAGATTATATTTTGTCCATTCTTATAACTCCTCAACTACCTTTTTAAGGAAGTTATGCAGCTGTATCCTAAACCATATAAACATCTATAGTTAGAAATAATTCCAAAATAAGAGATTGGTCTTAACAAACTGAACACATGTTCCAATAATAGGTTAATTAATCTAAGATTAAATGCATGACCCTATGACTTACACAAAATAGGAAATGTTAGGTTTACCATGGTTTTATTTTGTGCTCACTCAGGAAGAATAATACTTTGTTTACAATGCTCTACACTTTGTTTATATAGGAACAATATTCCACAGTGAGCTTATTTGAATTATTAGTGAAAGCATGTCCCAAGCATTTTATAGCTTCTCAAAGAAACAATATATTATTCTAATAAAAATGATTGAAGAAAGAAACACACATTTGCCCTGCAATAAAATATTACTGTGGAAAACATGACATCTTTCTGTTGAAGAAAAATGTTTAGGCCCCATGACAAATGTCTAGCAGCAATATGTTCGCTATGCAAATAACAGAAGTCCAGAAAGAAAAATTAGGAGCTAAGTTTGAACAGAGAAGTACATCCTATGAGGTCAACATGAATACTGTATTCTGTAAAATATACACATACAAATGGTATCAACTCTAGATTTGGGAGACCTTGGACAAGTTGTCCCTGGTGACCAACCCTACCTGAATTTACCCACTTTCTTGACAGTGTCACCAGAACCCACTTACAGGCCATATAGAAAACCAATCAATGCTACACAGCAGAGGATAAAGTGAATAAAGGCTGTCTTGCTGCCACTTGGACATTTGGACAAGATCAGTGAAAAAGCAGCAACAGTGGGAACAAAGGAAAGAAGCTCTCCCACATTGATTTTAATCTGTTTTTCATCTCAGCCAAACTCAAACAAGGGAAAGAAGACAGGCTGTGAGAAAACCAAATGGGGAAGGAGCAAGTGAATATGGAATGGGTCATGTTTACAATTTCATCTTCCAAATGCCCTAGACAAATGCAGGTGTAGGAGGCATCCTTGGCAGAGGCACTGTGCATTTTGACTGCAATTACAAAAAACAGGATGGGACAGGAAGGACGGTATCAGAGAAACAAGCTTATTGTAAGGAACAATCTCAAACTCAGAATTTACAAAGAGGAGCGTGCCTGTGCTGGTTCTGCAGAGATTTCTCAGCAGCCTTCAGTACTAGTAAACATAGCATCCTTCTGGACCATATGAAGGAATGGGGAACTGGGGCACTGCTTTGCAATGGTTGCATACTACTTCTTGGGCTGCTTCCAGATGGTGATACTTGGACACAACTGCTCCTCCAAGAAGAAGCTAACTTCTTCCCATAGGGCCCCATTTTGTCTCCAATGCTGTTTAACATCTATATGAAGCTGCTGGAAGAGATCATCTGGAGGAGTGGCACTGGGTGTTATCAATATGCTGATGACACCCAGATCTATTTCTCCATACCAGCATCTGTTGCTTCTTCTAGAGACAGCCTTTCTCCTCTGAATGACTGGCTGAAGCCGGTCCTAGGCTAGATAAAGAGAAACAAATTGAAGTGGAATCCAGACAAAATAAAGCTGCTCACTGTTAAGAGTCCAAATCTAGGATTCGAGGTATGTAAACCACTTCTAGATGGGGTCACACTCCCACTGGAAGACCATGTTTGCAGTTTGATGGTGCTGCTTGACCTGGCCCTCCAGATAGCAGCACAGATAGATGCTGTGGTCAAGAGCACTTGCTATCAGCTTCAGCTGATTCACCAGCTGCTTCCCTTCCTGGAGGAAAATGATCTGGACAGAGTCTTGCACATGCTAGCAACTGTTAGCCCAGATATACGCAAGGCTCTCTACATAGGGCTACCTTTATGTACTCCTAGAAACATCTCCAGCCTCTCTTACATGAAGAAAAGCTTCACCACAAAATTACCAGATACTTGAGAAAGCTGTTGAAGTCATTGGTTTTGATCTTTAAAGTCTTCAACAGTCCCATGTCCTGAATACTTCAAGAAACACCACCTTGATGATCCTCCCACACCAATTAAAATGGGCAATCCCCATTGTACCATGCCTGGTGTACCTATTAAGTTCAAGAACATCAGTTTCTTAACAGGAAAGAACAGCAATTGCCGTAGCACTCTGGAACAGGCTTTATGACTACGCGTACTTGCCATAGTTTTGAAGATTCTGTAATGCCCGCCATTTTAAGTAAGACTTTTGACTTATTACATTTGCCGAGACTGCTTGGATTGTTGTTGTTTACACACTCACACACACACAGCTGCTTATACTTTAAATTTGGTGCTCATCTTCATGTTTTATTCTTTGTTATTTTTAGAGTTTTATTTCTGAGAGATTTTTTTCTGCAAATGCCTTGAGGGGCAGGATAGAAATGTAACAAATAATCAGACTGGGTGGGAGATAATATAGATATTGTTGCTGTGATCCTAAATAGGTCTATTCCTCCTAAGTGGAACTGAGGTACACTTAATTCAGGGTTACTCTTGGGAGAAATGTAGGCAAAGGACAGCAACTGAAATCAAAGAAATATGTATCTATATTCTGTTTATTTCTTTGCTTTGCTGATTCATTTCAGTATAACAAACATTGGAAATATGGAAATACTTTGTGGCTAGCCCAGCTGGTCTAATGAAATTCTTTAAGCTTAATCTAAGTCTTTAGAGATTCAAGTTATCCATCACAATATCCTCCCATCCCTTTAGAATGTGAATGAGGCAGCACAGCATTTAGCTCTTCAGTGATATCTACACAGCTGTAAACAAAGAAAGCTTTAAAAAAATCTTAATTGTTTCACATCCCAGGGGGTCTACGAATTGTTTTCAAAAGACCTTCTGTTCCCATCTATTGCTTCTTTTTTCATGGAGTCAATTAAGCCGAGATAAGCAAACTAAATAAAATATCTTACAAGAAAGCTACAACACAGAGGCAAAACATAAAAAACCGTATTGAGAGGAATATAGCTATCTCTCACACATTACTCCTAAATTATAGATATATTCAAATAAATTTTACACACACACACATCTCAAGGATACACAAAGTTATTCACCTGCCTGCATGCACAGACAAAGCTTCTGATTGCAGAAGAAGGTTCCTGATTTCAACTCCCCTCCCCTTCCAGTTGCAGCTCTGTGCTCCATCCCTTTTTCCAAGCATCCCTTGATGTTTTCTTGGGTAGGGGGAAAGAGTGGGGAGGAATGTAGTAAACTACAGCAGAAGAGAATATGGACTGCAAAGACATGTTCTACAAGAGGTCCACTTGCAATTCCTAGCAATACATAATATATACAAGGTCAGATATAGCTGGTATATCACATTTTTCAGCATAACACGTGCTGAAAAATGACACAGAATAAACATAACATAGAATAAACTGCTCACTGGTTGCTTTTCCCATTCGTTCACAACATGAAGATGCCATTCAGAACAGAAGCTGGCCTACCACAATGGGGACTGGGGTTTTTAGTGGGTCACATAAGCCAGTTCTGTATTAACTATCAATACACCACCATGCTTTGATGGTACCTATGAAAAAGCGAGACTTCCTTTTCCATCCAATGAATATTGGGTACTGTATAATTTTATGGCAGCCTTCTCCAACTTGATGACCTTCAGATCTTTTGGACTATGATTTCAAATATTCTGACCATAGTCCATGCTGGCTGGAGCTGATAGAAATTGAAGACCAAAACATCTGGAGGTCACCAGGTTGAGGAGCTATTCTAGCAAAAGGAAAATATTATGTTGTCTACACACATACAAACACACATTCTTCTGCTAATCTCCTGAAATAGTGAAGGATCTGGTTCCAATAGTAGTATAGCTTGTCGCCCACCAAACCCAAATGAGTTCACCAGCCTAACCTGCCAAATCTCCTGGCTTTGTTGTTTGCCTGGGACTGTAAGAACAGGAGGGCTAACAAGCACCTTTCACACCAAGACACAACACTTGTGGGTTACATTTGGCTTAGTGAATCACAAATTGTGTAGGCCTGATTTATATACAAAGTTTAAATGATTCCAAGGGAATTAATTCAGCACTGAACCATATTCCAAGGATTCGCACAACCATATTCACAAAAGTGCATTTTCTCTGACCAGCCGCTCTTTCTAGCAAATGTGTTATACCCAGCCATTTAAAAGATGATGCACTAAAGTATAGCCACTTGTCACAATTTTTTTTTGTTTTTAAATAAATAATAAGCTAAAGATAATTTTGCAAATGCAAAAAAGGTTTTTAAAAGGCATAAGCATGCAGTTTTCTTACACTTGATGTAGGAAAAAAACCACTACAAAAAGATATGAAAATCAAATATAAGGAGCCAACCAAAAACATTCTAAGTATTTAATTGAATTTAGTCATATTGTTACCATAGCTGACTAAAGTACACAAACAAGAAACAGAACTCTGACCTGTTACAACTGAAGAGATTCACTGCTTAATTATTTCACTGTCTACGAAACGTAAATGATATCTGTTTCAAATAATAAATCTGCTTTTTTGTTATCTTAGTGGCATGGTCTCAAAACTGCTCCAGTAATATTAAGCCTGGTAGTATCATGTGGACAGGGGTTTATGTTCATTTTCCATAACAGCTCTGTCCAGTCCCAATGGAATAGTTTGGAAAGCAATTACATGAAAGAGGCAATCACACTTCTAAGATAAAAGCTCAGATAGGACATCAATGCCAAAGTTAACATTTACCTTGAGTGGCTCTTCTCACCTCTCCACTCCACATGCACCAAAGGATGAAATCAAAAACAGCATTATTTGCTGCAACATCTGAATGGATCCAAACTGTGATTACTTTGAACTATGGTTTATTAAAATGAGTCAAATCAAGCCATGGTTTCAGATCCTGATTATTATACTCAAGAATGGTTTAGCACAACCACATTTTCTGTTTTGGATATAACAATGGAGTGCAATTAGTTTAAAGGAGGAAGTAGAGCCTCCCTTTGGGGACAGGGAAGGGAAGTATGTAGGCTTAGGTAGATCTTGTTCATGTAGCACCAAAATATGGCTTAGCATTGGACCACTTTAAGATCAGGGCTTTAGAAAGTAATAATTCAATCATATAGATGAAGTTCATTCTAAAACTTTACACAATTTTGATGCTGTCATGGCATTTGCCAAAATTCTTACCCCCTCTCCTACAGAGCTATTTGGAACAATATCATTAAAATGAAACAATAAAACAAGAGAAGCAGAACAACAACAACAACCAATCACAGTAGAAATTAAAAGCATCTCAGAGATTAAGCCTCTTTACCTGGTATCTAAAATATATCAGCATTAGGCAAACCTCTCTGTAGAGTGAAATTCTACAAGCAAGGACCCACAACCAATAATACTCTTTCCCTTGTCTCCACCTGTCTCACCTGAGATAGTAGACAAACATGAGGGAGGACCTTCCAAGAAGATGCTAATGTATGTCGAACAGATATAACAGCTGTTCCTTCAGATACCCAAGTTCTAAGTTTCTTTGCCAAAACATTATTTCTCTGTTCCTTGGTCTCTTTCAATACATATACATATGTTAGAAGCCCTGATTTGCATAGAACCACTGTTTAGCTCGCACTGCAATAATGTGAGACCAAAACAAACTATCTATAGAATGGTGTTAACAAAACTTTGTATGGCAATCCATTATTTTCACCAGTATTCCCCATCTAGTTATTTTATTCCAAAGGCTCCTCACACCAAAATAAAACTGAAAGACAGGTCAGTGCCAAAGTCCTAATGCAGGTGACTTGTAGTAAGGCTGCATAAACTGTATGAATCAAAACAAGGTTAGGAATCCAGATGCAGCATCAATTCTTCTTTGTCAATTACAACTCTTGAGTATTTTCTGCATGTCCATCAGCAGTTTGGAGGGTAGTTTGAGGGACGCTGGGAGAGAAACAAAGCTATAAAATCTAAGTTGAAAAGGGCATCAGCAGATACGAAACTTGCTTTGAGGCACCACTGCTTTTCCATTTGTCTTTCGGCTAAATAATATTGTGACACTTACTGCAGATAACTGACTCCATGTTGATCTCAGAGGTTTGTATTGAATAACTATCTTTTCATCTGACTTCTGCTCTTTAAATTCCTCTTCTTCATCAGAATCTATATCCAGTGCTTTTTCTTTGTAGTTCTGATACAACACAGCATTTTCTACAATAATATGAAAAGGAAAGTGATTTTAGAAGAGTTTCTAAATAACATAATTATTCATATCCCTCTCAGACTTCACAGACAAAGATAGAGTCTTGTTCAGGATAGACAATGGGCTAGCATACGATGTATTACAGTAACAAAAGATCACTGTACCACCAAAACAATGCCTACCACCCGAATTCAATAATAGCTTGTGTTCTTTGTTAAAGAAAAACCAGAACAAGTGTTATTCTCCACCAGCTTGCTCTTGAGTGAATACAAACTGAAATGGTGAAACATGTCTGATATAACAGTTAATAAGCAAGGTTGTGTGTGTGTGTCCTTAAGCAGACAAGGAATTGAGACTCTCGGATTGTCAATTTTCATGTTGAATAAGACAAGTTTCTATCCCTTATGACTGCAAAGACAGGGCTGAAACATGTTTGGGAAGAGCCTTGCAACTCTTAGTATTCCCAGAGGGCAGGTTTTACTGCCATACACTAATGCTCTCCTTCATGCTTAATGAAAATATAACATGCATGGTAGCTTATGCTTATAAGTTATCTTTATTTGCTTGATTTGCATAATTTACACAGGTTAGAATATTTAGCTTTCAAGTCTTTTTCAAATGGAGAGTTTACACTTTGATTGAGCCAAGAATTTTATAATGCCATAGTAACATATTGGAAACCTACAGCAGTACTAGAAAATGAACTCAGTGTTCATTAATCCTACTGTTACTGAAAATGAAGACAAGTGGGTTTAGACCCCATCATCTACAATACTTCTCTAAGAATCCCAACTTTAGAGATTACAAACCCCAAATTTTGGCACTGGAATAAATGATTCAGTCAAATGGACATTCATGGTTTCATTTATTTTGATGGCAACTTCAAAGCAGCTTTTAAACTTGTTCCATTATTTTGTTAGGGACGAAAGAGGTTATGTTGAGATACAGAATATTTAGGAGATGAGATTTACAAGAGTGCTTTGCCCAGAAGCTGCACCTAATAAAGAAGGCATTCCACAGCCTGAAGAGTGGAAGCCTCTGCCAAGTTCTTTCAGCTCTCTCACACACCCAATTCAATGTTAGAGTGTGTACAAAGTCTTTCTGCCCCCAAGAATTTCCCATTCATTTTTATGGTCAGGCAGCTCTTAATATGCAAAAGAATGCACGTTCAGTTTTCTCTCTTTCATTGAAATAAACAAGGAAGTCCACATACACTGGAGTTCCACATGCACATATCAACAAACCAAAACTGTCTGGATCACTGTAAAGATCTTTAAACAGCAGTTGCTGATGCTCTCTCAAGCTTTCCATGACTGTGGAACAGCTAGATATGAGCTCTGTTTTCACTTCGAAAAGACAGGCTGGCTTTTATATGAATAATTAAACAGTAATTTAAAAGAATAAACTGTTCAGATATATGGAAACAAGTTCTAGGGAACCTCTAGTCCATCGGTGTGTGCTTCCCTCCTTCTTTCTTCCTCTTATGTGCTACAATTCTCATCCTGGTTGGTGGCAAATTACAATTTTATACTTCATTCTAACCAGTGCAATATGATTCGTATTTGCCTTGCAATCCAGGTCTACCTCCTGGTTTACTATTCTGCATAGCAGGAAAATGCAAATCACAGTTCGCCTTTTTGCCACATTTCAGAATAGGCAAGAGGACATTGCAAAGCATAAGATATGGAGGGAGACTACTCTCTGCTCAATAACCAAGATTTGGCATAACATCTGAACTACATTTGTCTATCAGTTATGGCATAACATTGACTAAAGGTGCTTATTTTACTTCTCTTCTTACTTTCCCTCCAAAAATTGAAGTGCAATATGATTTACAAGTCATAAAATCATAAACATCCAATAAAACAGCAATAGCAGAATGGTTAAAATTTATATTGAAAAAAATCAATATCCAGACAGAGAAAATTAATATTTCAGTGTGTGAAAGAACAAATGAGGTTTTGTCCACTGCCTAAAATCAAAGAAGAATGAGGATTTCTTGTTACATAAAACAGCACTCCTCACAAGGAAATATTAACTAGAAATTCCTGCCTCTGGTTTTAGACCTTCAGTACCAATGAACCATTCTGGTCATAGAACCAACTTCTCCACTCTGTGCACCAACAGAAGCTAGTCACATGGCTAGCAAGAGTCAATAAAAGTAAGTTAAAAGCACTTTAAACCACTGCCAGTTTAAAAAATCCCCTGAGCCTATGCTTTGGTTTCAAATGCTTTGTCTACAACATGACCGTGTGCAGCAAAGGATTCTGGCACCATGCTTTTTGCTGCCATCATTTACTAAAGCAGCAAAATATCTGAAGGCAGGAAAGAAAACCACATGCTGGACAGTTTCAGCTCCATCCTTCTTGGGGACATCCTATGGAACAGTGAAAAGTCTTCCAGAGGCCACAGAGACGTCAAATTGGGACAAAAGCATGGACAGTACTAAGTTTCTGAAAACTATCACCTCAACACTTTATGAGGCCAAATCCAGTTACAAAATATTGTACACGTTTTTGAGTTCTCTTGAATGCTTCATCAGGCTAGATGATTGTCAAGGAAAAAAGAAGTGGAGGAAAATACATAATCAGATGTTCAAGCCATGGCATTTGCATTTGGTTGGAGTCCTAGGAACGAAAATTGGAGTGATACATTCTGATTAGTGATACATTCTACATCAGGGGTGAGAATCCCTTTCAGCATGAGGGCCAAATTCAATTTCAGAGAAGTTCTCAGGGCCTTCATTCCACTTGGGAGCCAAGGCAAAAGGAAGAGGCCAAAAACAAACACACAAACAAACAAACAAACTTCAATATATCACAGCTTAAGTACCTAAATCTTAGAAGAGAGATTGCATCTTTTTAAAGAGGGAAAAACTGCTCAAAGGCAGGAAAGGACCAAACAAGCCATGGCTTGGGACCCAAGGAGGGCTGGCTTTGGCTCCTATGCCCCGTGTTCCCTACCCCTGCTCCACTAGGTTCATAAATAGTTCCAAGTTACGTATGAGACCCTTCCAAAGAAAGAACAAAGAAAACAAACAAACAATTTATGTAACTATAAAATCCTGCTGTTGCTCAAATCTAATCTCCATCTTCTAACCAAAGACATAGGTCTCTTGGCATGGACAGGGCAGGACTGTGCAATAAAGATAACCAAGGTTTTACACTTTACTTCACCATGAACCATTTGAATTAAAACAGAGAAGTCAACACCAAGCAACCAAGAGAAAACTATGTTTCAAATCTTCCATCCTGCAACATTACTCAGGAGCAAGCCCCTGTCTAAATTACTAAAATAACTAGTGCCTGAATATGGCTAAAACTGTGACAGAACCAGAGGAAGATATAACAAAGACAAACAGGTTGTTTTTTAATGGTTCTGAAAAGACAAAGTCTAAAAGATGAGTCTGATCGACAGAGTCAGGCCACCGAACAGAAGTACTGCCAAGGAACGTGACGTACGATCCGTGTGGTGGGGCAAGAGAGAATGGCGCTGGCAACCACATCTACACGGCTGGCTTCACAGAAAATGCAAAGTGAGCGGGTGATCAATGCAGAGACAGTGCACTACAAACAAGATGGATGGTTTAGGCTGCAATCCTCTACTCCCTTGAGATGCAATAAACAAGCAAGCATTTTTAATCATGTGGGATTTAACATTTTAATTATGAATCAGTTACTGTATGTTACTTTATTCTTAACTGCCTTAAGCACTTTTTTCATTCCACAACAAATAAGCAACTATACAATCTGACAAATGACAAATGAGATGACTAAACGGGAAAGATGCAGAAACACAAACATCTGTCTGGCACTTCTAAAACCACATATTTTATGATCATCATCTTCCTAAACATTCAGATTTTTCTGCTGATTTATGTCATTCCCTAAGGGGCAATCCTATGGCCCCTGAGCAGCATAGGAGGGGCCATGGGGTATTTTAGAGTCTCACGTGGAAGCGAGGGCCTCAGGAAAGAACAGCACTGCAAAGGATGACACTGGCTGCTCTTCAAGGTCAGGAAGACCAGCCTCCTTCCTTCATCCTCTGACTCGTCTCAGCTAGGAAAAGCTCGTCTAGTGGAAAATGCCAGCAAGAAGACAGGGAGGGGCAGGTTGCCTCACCACTCCTCCAGACCTGCACAGAATATCCAGAGGCCTCCAAACTCTGTGGCAAACAATCACCAAGCTTGCAATTCATGGGAGTGCCCCATTGCTAAATAAACAGCCTTGCCCTTGTAAGTTAAACCGAAAGACACATCCTCATACCTCGAAAGAAAACCCCACAATGAACGAAATCAGTTTGGTTGTATCTGGTACAAACTTTGTTTTCGAAGTGCAGCAGGACCACCACCCCATCCACTGGCTCAGTTATGGCATTTTTCGTTAACTGTGGTTGGCCTTGGCCAGAAAGAGAAGTTGCAAAGTGCTAGGGAGAAGTCATAAATAGGGAAAGAAAAGAAATGTATGACAAGGTAAAAACAAATGAAATTGTGAAAAAAGAAATGTATAATTTATGGAATAATAATAATAATCAATACATGTATTATTTATTATTTATGTATAATAAATTATACAATGCATATTTTTAAAAATATGTTTTTCAAATTTGAATTTATAAATGTATAATAAGTACAATATAGTGTTTGCTATTATCATTGGTTTCAGGCACCCACTGGGGGGGCTTGGAACTGATCTGTGCTGATACGGGAGTCCTGCTGTATAACTTATTTGGTTCATTGTATATCATTTTTGACAATTCTCATCAAATTGTTGAAACAACAGTACTTACCTTCACCATCGAAGGTCCCTTGTCCTTTAGGCATTTTCTTCTAAGGCAGATTAAAAGAAAAGGGATGGGGTAAAAGAGAAAAAAAAATGAAAATAGGAACGCACAACAAGATGCATAATAAAATGAATGTTATATTTTAGGGCACAAAATATTTGAATAAATACTTGAGTGTTAGCGGGTTGTGCTAGTAGCCACCACTTCAAAAGCTCTGTAATATTTGAAAAATTCTGGCCCTAAAATTCAGAGTACTTCATACTCCTACAAACAAGACAGGAAGAGATGTACACATGGATTTTCTGCTTCCATAGAAATTGATGAAAAGCAAAAAGTACATGGAGGATTTCCATGTACATGTCAGATTATATGACATGATGGATTTTAGCAATCAGTAATTTATTTCTGCATGGCATGGGATAAGTTATTTTCTTTTCTTTTCAAGGAGAAATGCAATGCAAGAAGAGTTTAATAAACATGCAAGTGATTTCATTAGCCTGAAATTAATGAAATCATCTTTCAAGTCTTCAACATTTGACCAAACATTTTCCTGGTGTATAACCTCCTGGTGTACAGAACAGTGATTTCCAAATGTTTTACAGAAAAATGCTTCACACGTATTTTGTTTAAATGGGTGTAAAACTAATTTTAAAATAGCCATTAAAATAATAAAAATCACACAAGTGTGGATTTTGCAGAGTGGCACGTGCTTGAATACAGCAATACTAATTATGGCTAGTTCCAGAGAGCTTTACTATGCAATTTTAAGAGGTGTCCTGTAGAAGGTTTAATCAAATATTTCATCAAAAGTATCCAGAGCCTTGAATGTAGGAGGCAACTAAAATTCATCTAAACTATGACACATTCAAACTATCAAAGTTTTTCACATCTTTTTAAACATTCCTTCCTACCATCATTATCCAAACACAGGCAATATAATTCGGATCAAATATTATAGAAGTAAATCCATTGCATGACTGAGCTGTAAGTTAACTTTTCAAAACTATTAAAAATGGAATTAAATAAGAGTTCTACTTTTTGCAAAAAGGAAGAGGAGAAAAATTCAAGTTTATCTATTTCTGTTGTATGTTTCTCTGCCTTTCATTATGTGGCTTACCTAACATTTGGCTTGGATACAGAGGCAAAAGTTGCAAAAATGCTGCCTTTACTATGATTTAATTACTTACTGGATCTGAAAGCTCTTGGAGAAATGCCTCTTTGCTTTGTTCACATGCATAAGGAGGTGTAGTAAATGGGACTACAGTTAATGCACCTGTCAGTGCAATGGGATTCAGCAACACATATGGAATGAGAAGGAACTTTAGACTCTTATTTTTATATAGAGGGTGGTCTTGAAGAGTCAGAAAAGCTCATTTAATAGTCCAAAGACAATGGAATCAGCACTACATATACAATCTGCACAAGAGGTTCATCCAGATGAAGTCTTTCTAAACACTGCATACAGGAGGCACAATATGGCCTGCTTTGCCTGACGGAGGGAATGAGCTTCTGGTTGTGTTGTCATGTATATCGTTCCGATGAAAGCTGGCAGAACCTCCACGGTAATCGTTTGCACTAGGTATCAATGAACAGAAGTTAGGCATGCTTCCAGAAAGCATGCGGACATTTCCAGCCAGTCAAAGAATAAAACCCGGACAATGGTTACAATGATGTAAGCAAACCATGGGTTAAAATCCCAGGTCACGCTTATTCACACATGGTATGTCAGTCATGTTTACCATGTCATCAGATATTTGTGATAATGAATATATAAAGTACAAGGAGGGGAGATATGCATGTGTGAACGAAGGAAGATGTGATAAGAAAACAACTGATAATGTGGTCTGCACTCCTCACAGTGCTAAGGGGCTCTGAGACATTAACGCCAACCCCGGAGAGGGAGAGGAGGGGATAGCCCCCCCCCCCCGCCAACACACACACACGCCATGCTGCAAGTAGGTCATTTCAGGCCCTGAACCTAGGCTAGAATCCAGACCATGTTAAGAAAGGAAAAAGACCTGGCCCTGCTAGCTGGACAATGCTGGGAGTTGCAACACTTTTTCTGCTTAACACAAACAAGATTGCACCGTAATGATCTTACAAGACTTTCCTTTAAAAGGACATGGGAAACACACAGCCAAGATTCTCCACCATTCCAAGCGTAGCAACCTGTTGTACATTCTGGATATGTTAAGCAAACAATTGCTGTTTTAATAATGGTTGCTAAACACACTCACACAAACACACATATTCTGAGCGTGTGCAGTTTTGCCTTCATTTAAATATAGCACCATCAGGACTACAAGAATAAGACTGGGGTTGCTTCTGCTGCTACCATCGTAAATACATTTACTTTGGAATAAGCTGCTGGTGGGTTTTTTTTTTGTCTGTCAGTCTTGGTAAAAAGGGCAATGTATTTGAAAAGTAAAATAATAAACATGCATCAGTATCCACTTACATTAGCTGGTCTCATTTCAACTCTTTCAGGCCACGTTTCAACTCTGCTCTCTCCTAGTTTTCGTGAGCGGAGCCTGCTAGTCGGGGGTCAGACTAGATGACCCGGGTGACCCCTTCTGACTCACACTGTTTCTATGTCTCTTACATGGAAATGTTGACAAAAAATGTTTAGAAAGAAGGATGCTGTGGTGAGCATCACAGGGCCTGACATGGAGAACCCCCTTTGCCACTGTCTCGATCTGCTCTCTAGTGACGGGATGCAGTGTGGGGGTGCTCTGAGGGCAAGCACTAGCTGAACCAATTACCCTCAATACCCCAAAATTTGGCATTTCCTTGGAGGAGGATTGGTTTGTCCCTGTACTGAAATACACTCCAAGCACAACCTGCCGGTCAAGCACTGAGGATGTGCAAGTCCAAAGAAGAAAGCAAGTCTCTTCTTTAGCTTTGAGCTTGTGCTTGGCATTCTGGTGAAGTATGTATGGATTTTTCCTGCTGCCACTGGGAACTTTGACTAGCCACAAGCACAGAGCCAAGGTTGATTATGCATTGGGAAGAATCCCCCAACCCAGATTTGAAGAAATATGGAGAGCGGAGCTGGGAATACTCACCTTCTTTCATGCTTCTCCTCCTGTCAGAGACAGTAATTAAACAAACCAGGGATGTTCCATCCTAGGCTTGGTTATTATTACACCCAAAGTGACTCTGGCATGTCTCAGCCAGGACAAGCTAGAGTTGCAACCCCAAGTTCATTTTTAGATTACAACTTTGGCTTGTTCAGGGATAGAAAACCTGGCATTCCAAGGCTCAGACATAACAATAACCAAGTCAGGGACAGCACTTCTCTTCTCACTGTCAGGAAAAGTACAAACCAGCAGGTTGGTTTGTTCATGGTAACCCAGCATTTTAAAAACCCCAGATTACTGTTGTGTGGGAACTGGGCCTCTGTCACTGATCTTAAATTTACCTTTCAGAAACCTGCATTTAGATAACTGCTGAAAATGTGAGGATTGCAGTATTCTACTGCTAGGAGGGGAAGGATGTGTAGAAAAAGGGAGCACCCATTTGTTTCTCACCTGGTGTCAATAAATTGCAGGATGTTGGTCAGTTTGTCCAGAGAGGCAACAACAACACACACACAGCACAGCCTAGAGCTAGCCCAGCAAAAGTCACTTTGCTCTCTCTCCCCTCTCCATCCCAAAGACTCCAAGTTTCCCCATATGCCATAAGCCCATTTACGGAAGGGGCATTTCCCATTCTTCTACCAGAACAGATCTGAGTCATTCATGAATACCAAAATGACTGTCTTGTCCAGAAAGATCCCCTATTCTCTTCTCATCACACTCAAGAATGCACATGACAGCAAGTATAACTGCTGGGTGAAGCGTGAATTGGGGCTTCACTTATGGGGCTCCTCTAGGCAAATCACAAACTAAGCCTGTTTCACAGGGTTTGTATACTCTGAACTACTCTGAACATCTCAAGGGGGAGGGAACCTGGCTGAGTACAAATATAGCACAAAAGTAAAATACAATTAGAGAGCATTAGCATAGCTAGTTTCTTTTATTACTTACCTTTATCCTTCCTAAGCTGGAGAATTTCTCCTTGTCTTCCACAACTGCTTTCAGTACTGGCTGAGACATTCTGTTTTTCATCTTCAAGTTGGCAGTGCTGTCAAAGTCAATGCCACTCACAACAGCTCGTCGATATGAAGTGGACCTCAAAGTCCGCCTGAGCATCCCTGGGGTGTCCACATCACCTTCTGTTTCTTCATCCCCACCAGCTACCAAAGGCACGCCAAGGGTTTCCACCATACTGCGTACCTTAAGAACCCTCCTGTTTGGTTCCACATTTTGGCTGTTGGCTTTGTGGGTGGTTTTTATTTCAGAAGCTAAACTCTTAGGGATGATCTGCTGCTTCCCTACTTTCAGTGCAGCAGGACTGTTTGTACTCAGAACCACGGGCAGCGTTTCTGTGAGCTCATTCTGGTGGGATGGCAGTCTTTGGAGAGGCTGCTGCTGCTGCTCTATCGTAGCAGACAGGCAAACAGATGCTTTCTCTGAGTTTTTAGGAAGCTGGCTGGGTTGTAATGCTAAGGCGCTGACTGCGTTGTTATTTGGCGAATGTACGATTTCCGTAGGCGACAATCCAAGGCTTGATGTGAAAACAATTTGTTCCTTCTCCGGACTAAGTGCTGCTCGATTGGAAATCCTTCCTGGGTGAGTCAGTTTACTGCCTGCTGAATTTATAGACCCACTAGCTGTACAGTTTATAGAATTATTTGAAACCATCCTCAGAATGTGAGGTGACCGGTGGTCAGAAAGCCTGGAGGAGACAGGTTTTTGCTCTGGAAATTTAACCTTCCCATTTGGGACAGAGCCAAGGCCACAGCTGAAAAGCAAAGGGCTCCTTTGAAAGCACTGGTTGTCAGCAGAAGTCATTATTGTTTCAGCAGGCTGAACTAAAGTGAATGTATCCCTGTCCTCTACAGGGAAATCTGTGAAGAGGACCCCAGTGGAACTTTGATAAGACAGAGGTCTTGGTTTGGCTTTTGCATGCAAATGAACTTGGTGAGCTGACCTCCTCCTCCACAAGGGTGTGATGTCATTGTTGGAAAAGTCCACTTCATTCTGTCCTTCCATAACCAGGACCAAGGTCAACCCAGCTTCCAGTCAGGTGCACAATCTCTCCTCCTAGCAACAAAAAAGAGCAAATTCAGCTGTTATCCTTGGGTAGAATCTCACAATCGGAAAGGATAGTTTATTAATTGGGAAGGAGGAGGTAGAGAACTGGGACATCATCCACTGCTTACAAAGCCTTCCTAGAGGATGCCAAGCAGCTCATGGGATGGCTTTACCAGGTTTTCTTTTTTGGCATGCAACCCCACTGAAACCAATAGAGGGAAAAGTTAGCTGTGCCAACTCCAGGCTGGTATATCTGAGGCCTCATCAGACTAGGAAGAAGTATTGGATTTAAGCCTACTGCTACCCATAAAATACCCTGGTTTATGGCCAACTACTGATGGCAACACTGCTAGGGGTAAATCTGTGCCTCCAGTGGGCATACCCTCTCGGCAGAGGTCCTCACCAGCAGTGGATGAGCATGTCCGTCCTGCCCTGCTCTAGCCAGCAGATATAAGCAGCAGGTTTGTACTATCACACCTCTATCCACAAAGACAACTTAAAGGGACCACCTGGCTGGCAGCACCATGACAGAAAAAGGTGGAAACATTCAAAGGCAGTGCATGCCTTTGAATTTCTAAAATGGTGCGTTCGGGAATTTCATATCCCAAAACCACACATCTGATGTTAAACAACAAAGCAATGGGAAATCTCAGTTTTCAAAACAAATTACAGAATGCAAATGTTTGCTAAGAACAATTTAGCATACATGGCTGTTGTCAGGGTGGTAAGCAGGTAAGGACTTTTTCTTTCTTTCCTTCTTTCGTGTGTTACTAGACCAACTTCTGAAGGCGTTAAATTATGCCATCTGCAGTTCTTCATCAATCAGGGAAATGAGGAATCGTTTATATTTTCTACCAGCCATTAACTCCCTTGAACGAAATTTAAAAGAAATGTGTTGTACTTTCGCTCCTTTAACTAGAGTGTGACTACGTTTGTAGGTTCCTTTCAGCTTCCTTCCTACCCACCTTTTCCTTCTCGCTTTGCAGCGCGCCCTTATGTGCTTGCAGCTTCGAGATTAAATAGACCCACAATTTAAAACCCGAAAAATCTCTGCACTTTCCGCGCCCCGCCCTCCCCGCAGCTTGGCTCGCAATCCCGCGCGGTAATTCCCACGCATTTCTGCCCAGCCACTGAAAACCGAGGCGCGCGTTCTCACCCCGCTTACTCGCGTTCTCACGGCCTTTGAATTGCTCCTATTGTCTGCCCCTCGGAGGCTAGCCGGGGGGGGCGGGGTGAAGGGTCCCCCACACCAACTATATTTGGGACTCCTGGGGCGGAGCCTGCGCGTGATGGGGTAAGCGAGCGCGCTGGGGAGAATCACCGTCTTCACACGCCAGCTCCGCTCCTGCTTCGGGGTTCCCTTCATCAGCAGGCGCAAAACTTTTCGCAAGGCGGAGAAAGGAAGAGCCTTCCAGGCTGGGGCCGCAGAGACCCGTCTGCGACCACAATCACACCCCAGCCCGGCCGTCGCCGCTCATCCTTCCACGGGAGAGCCCGGCCACTCACCTCATTCCCAGGCGGCGGCACACGCGCGGGGGGCGGGAGGTCCCCACCTGCGAGGCGCCCCCTGGGCTCCTCCCGGCCTCCCCGCCGCGCCGCCTCCCAGCCGTCCGGGAGGCTCAGCGCCCCACGGCCTGCATCGCACTCTCCTCGCGGAGCCCTGGCGCACCCCGGCCGCCCGGCTCGCCTGGACCGGTCTCCCCTCCCGCGCCCGCCCCAGCGCCGCCTCCTACCCACAAGCAAGCCCCACCTTCGCTGTCCGGCCAGCGCTGCGCCGCCGCCGCTCCTGGTGCGCTTGCCGGCTGCAGCCGCCTCCGTATCCAAGGTGCATCGTATCCAAAGCCTGGCAGGATCCTTGGGATGAGGCGGAAGATCCCATAAGCCCCTCGCATCTCCCCTGGCAAGAGAGATAACGACGTGAAGGGTCCACAATCTGCAGCCCCTTTATGACACCCCATAGGGCAGCCATATTCCGTCTTAGAGTAGGAGTGGCCCTGCGTGCCAGGGCTGGATTGGACCCCAGGCAGTGGTGTGGGAGAGGCGGAGAAGGGTTTCTGAGGGGTCACCGGTAAAGTGAGACCTCTGCTCCCAGCAAACATGAGGTATTAGGAGGCAAAAGTGACCGATCGGGACACGATTGCCAGGACTGGAGCCCCTGAAGGTAAACCTCAGAAAGGTGGAGGCAATGAAGAGTTGTGGTTGAATGCAGTTACCATTTACTAAAAAGTTTTTGGCAATGGAACCAGTTTATTTGCATCATGTGCATTTAGGTCTGTTGATTGGGCCTGCTCTCAAGGAGGCATGCAGAAGAAACCAACCCTTTACCCATCTGCCTGACAGCGTGCTCTGAAGAACTCTTACCTGCCTAATTCCACTCACCACCCAAGCTTTAGAAGCACACAGTATATTAGTGCACCTCCTACACTTCTTGCTAGTGCTTTTCTGGAGCCTAGCGCTGGTGTTCACCTCTAAAGCCCAAAACTGTTTGCATGCCAGCACTTGTATGAATATAATATTTGGCAACCCCATGATCTGGAGTAGAGGACCTGCTGCTGAACTGTCCTGTAAGATGTATTTGGTTGGTGGTCACAAAAGACAGAGCCTTTTCTTTGGTGGCTCAATGATTTTGCAGTATCCTACAGTGGAAAGTATACATGGCTCTTTTCCCCTTCCTTAATGGGCCTTAAAAACATGGATGTTCTAGTCTGTTTTTAAACAAACAAATGCACACCTTTACTCTATAAATGGAAAGGACTTTTTTTAAGTTTTGCAGTTGCTGTGGTTTAAATGCTTCATGATGCTGTTCAATTTTATATTGTGTGAATTTAAAATATCATCTTGTTGATCTTTTCCAGGAAACTTGCCCTCAAAAGATTCTAGAAAATACTTTAAATAAACAAAATTCAAATACATTGTTTGAACCCTTGTACAACCAATGCTTATGCCACCTATCATTTCTGAGCTCTGTTGTTACAGGAAATAAGCAATATGGGCAATCTTTATAAATTATGTCAGTACTAAAGACTGTGGCCCAAAGAATGTTCCTGCTTTTATAATTTTTTGGTGAAGACCATAACTTCAAGGAAAGGAAAAACACATTCTAGGTAATAAACACAAGGATCAAGCCTTCTGTTTCACACACGTTCTTCAAACGCTTTCCAAATATCTGTTCTTGTCTCAGAGCCCTCTGCTTGCCAACTACAGTCATAAAAGCACACCCAGATTTGCCAGCTTCTCTCTCACAGGACTCTTGTGCCTCTGTTTGTATGCCAGCCAGCAGGTTATTGTTTTTCTCATTACTGCATTTCCACTTTGCAAAAGCAAATCATATGCTGAATTTCTTTGTGTTGTGCCACTGTTAAAGACACCAGAGCCTTGCCAAAGTTGGCAACTCCAACATAGGGCTAACATTTTTTAAACCAACCCCTGCTCCTGCACCTTTAATACGAACTTCATTTTCAGACATTATGGCAATGCTGAACTTGTAAACCTTATCCTATTTTTGGTTGCTTAACCTTTGGTGTAGAATCACAGGGTTAGGAGAAGCATAGTCAGTTGGCAATAGTACCCTATAACCTTGGATATCCATCTCATCAAACAAATGGACAGTTTGTTGTATGAAACCTTCTATGATGTGTCTGCCATCTACAGATAAAGTTGCCTGAGAAATATCCTGAGACTGCATTCATAACTGGCCAGATGTATCTTTCCTCCTATCATTGTAGACTACAAATTGGCCCATAAAAAGTTTTCACCCAAGGTGAAAAAAGCATCAGGTGTGTTTATCTGTGTATCTACATGCACACATACGCAAATAGAAGACATGTCTGAACAGGTATCTGAATAAGTGATGTGTACTTTTTGTTGCAATAGACTGAGATTGAATGGAATATCTGAGATGGTGGTGATGGAAAGCTTTTGTTTCTCTACCATTACATATGTCATTCATTCAGTCAGTCAACTGTTTATTACATTATTATGCTGTCAAATTCCTGGGTGGCTTACATATAAGACACACACAATGCAGAGAGAAGTTAAAACATGCATAACAAATTAGAACAACAACCATCAAATAATAAAACAGTGAAACAAATATTAAAAGTACATCATAAATTTCATCAGAATAAATAAAAGCACTAAACCAAATTACAGATTTTGTTTCTATCTTGGGCAGGTTCTTGAAAAGTTTGTAAATAAGAAGTAATGTCAGAAACATAACATTCATCACAAAGTACAGGGGAACAAAGTCCTGTTACCATGATTTCTATGTAAAGCTAATTCTTAGGGCCGGTAGTGGTGCAGTTTCTTTTCTCACTCTATGTCTGCAACCCTGTAAGATGTTGATTATTCCACATGTTGAGAAGGGCAATTCAGAATCTATATGGACACACCTTTCCCCTCCCTCCATAATGCATGCAGATCAGCTGATCAATGGGCATTTTTTATTCCCATCATAGTGGCACTGAGTGGGGAACTTAAAATAATAATGCCAGAAAAAGTTATTCTTTTAATCAGATGCTGTTAGAAGACTTTTGTCTTTATTTACCTGGGGGGAAATAATGGAAGCCAACAGTTCCCCATTCCTGCTGTATAGGACTGTAGTCTTACTCTGATTTGTGTGATATAATAGGTAGTCTGTATCTTTGCATGAAGTTCCTTTTTATACAGACTGTTTGGGAAGATCCAATCAGCCAGTTGTACTCAATTATGTCAAGCATGATTCAGAGTTGTATAAAGTCTAAAAATGCACAACTAATATAAGAGTAACAAACAATTTTAAAACTGATAGCAGTATAATGTGAAATGACCCACCAAGAATAACTTGTAAGAGCTGGACACATGCTTGTGTTTCATTTGCTGTCATACCATAAAACATGGCTTTGATATCAGGGGATCTGCTCTGACCCCTTTGTAAAAACAGTACATTGGAAGCAAATGCTTGTACAGAGCAAGGAAATAATTCAGACTCAAAATTTCTGGAAAACAAGCTCTCTTACAATCAATTATAATGGGGCTATTCTCATATAGCCCCCTCTTCATTATATACTAGCAGCCATTCAGGATGTTCTTATGCTATAAATTTTCTATTTGTTTCACCGATTTTCATTGCAGTGATCTGTATGTAACACTGTGTCTGTCTGTCTTTGCATAGTTACATATTATCCCAGGGCCCATAGGATGTGAAGGACCCTCCACCTCAAGGCCGCACACACTGCTATGAAATTGGGGTGGGGGAATCAAGGATTTGACTGCTGCCCCAACCCACTCACAGTCTCCATGGAAAGCAGCACGGCGGTTCTTCTTCACAACAGCAACATGAAAAGAGTTTGAGGGAGAGTGAGACGATGACAGAATAGTGGGCAGGGAAGGGAAAGCGGAGGAGAGACTAGAACCTTAAAGTGCAGTGAAGGATGCCCACTGTCAGCAAGGCTTCTTGGCTACTCTGGGTTGCAGCCTGAACCTCAAAGGAGCTGTCCTTGGTGCTGAACCATACTGCCTTTGCTTCCTTGTTCACTGCCAGATATATCAGCTAGATGGTCCAAGAAGCCTGCAAATGAGGAATGAGCGTCTGTAAACACCTGTATCTTCCTTCTGCCTTGCCTGGCTCTTGCTGGCAGTTTTGAAACGACAGAGGCTTCCAGTCTGAGCCCATAAATGTTTACTTCCTTTATGTGAACTGAGATGGCTGCTTACACTAAACATATTGGGAACAAATACCAGGAGCTACTGGGAACAAAATGGTATGGAGCGTTGGAGTAACTTATGTGGCACATATTAAGCACCTTCGCTGACTGTTGCACATATTATATCAGCCTTGTAAATAAACCCACAGAGGTTACCAGCCTGCGAGAGGGCCTGAGAGCACCATCCCTTCTTGCAACAGCCGAGTGGAGTTCTGCAATGAGTGGGAAGGGGGATTCTCCACTTTTGCTGCCTGCTTAATTGGTTATTCTGGGTGCAGAGGACAGAGCAGTGTTCCGTCCAACAGCTGATAATGAACCTGCATGCAGTTCCTTGCCACCTATGACTACGAGGCTTATCGCTTAAATGCAAGGTTACCTTATGCAATAGCAAATAAGTCCCCTAGTGCACATTTGGCAGGACGCCACAGTCAGTCTGAACTCTTACAACAGCACATGCACATTCGTGAGCATCGTTTGTGTGGTATTCAGACCTTCCACTGTGTGCCTAAAATTAGGCAGTGCCTAAAATTAAATGTGGGGAGAGACACAAAGTTCTGTTTTCGGTAAATCAACAACAGCAGATAATCTTATCATTTTAATTTTAGAAGTGTTCATTTATATACATTCTTCTCTGCATTTGAATCTCCATTCCAATCTCGTTTTCAAAAAGACCTTCTTTTGGAGTCTGTTGTGCATACCTTCTGTGTATTGTTGTTAATCTTGGCTTGCACCTTCATGTTTCCTGCCCCTTACATTCATTCTGAATTATGTAGGTCATTGTTTCTGAAACTGAGCTTAAAAGGACAGAGCTACAGGAGTGCACCCTAGCCAGTCCTTCTGTGTACCTATTGCCAGTTTCCTGGTGCCTGGGCAAAGGGCATTCTGCTTTCATTACCTGTAAGAAGAAACAAGCATCCTATTGCTGTGAATCTGAG